TTGTTTCTCATTTCTAGCAAGTACACTTATCTTTACAGCATGTGATTTTTATTCGTACCACTTTCCATTTGGAGACAGTGTTAAGACTGTGGCCCCTAGACTCAGCTTGTTTGAGTGTGACTCCTGGCTGCATCAAATTGGTGCACTTTACTGGCTTCTCTGTGCCTTTTGTAAAGTGGGAATCACAAAAGTATCTTCCTTACTAGGGTTTCTTTATTACAGGATTTAATGAGTGAAGCCATTTGAAGCATTGGCAGCCCTGATTGGCATAGACAGTAGTGTGTGTGTGTTTACACAATAGAAATGAGTTCTGGCTAATTTCAGCACAAAGAAACTTTGCTAGAAGGTTACTAGAGCAGCTTACCAAATGGAATGAACAGTGGAAGAAGGACCAGTGTCAGAAAGAGCAGGTGAGGGACCATATCGTAGCTACAGTGATGCAGGTGGTAAATGCTATTTACCCATCTTGTTAGAGCACTACAGTAGTACCCATTTTCTGTCTTTATGATAAGCCACTCAAGCTTCAGTGGTTTGCAGAAGAAGGTATCTGATTCACCTGGTTGGGAGACTAAGCTGTCTTTGCTAGAGGCAAGGCAATCATTTTGAGTAGTATTTTTATCAATGCTGTTCACAGTGTACATGCAATCCTTCCCCAAAACACAGTCAGGATTTGTTATTTGGAAAAAGGACAAATGGAGACTAAGTGTCCGCAAACCAACAAATATTTACTACAATTAGTGCATTTTGTTAACTATCCTATTTTCCAACAAAAATAAAGACATCCACAAGATCACCAATACTTAATTATATAAAAGTATTCTGGTATAAAACTCAGGAGATCTGAGGAGATCCAGGCTCTAGGCACAGCCCTTTTTGACTCAATCACAATTTTTTAGGTCCTGATTTTGTTACTACTAAGGCAATGGGGTAAGAATTAGAAGGCCTCTAAGGATTATTCTAAAAGTAAAACCTTAAGGTTCTCTGGTTGTCTTTGTTATGTGGGAACCTATATGGTTTTACACACACACACACACACACCACACCCCTACCTATGAATATTCTCCAGATGGTCCATTCTTCACACTCAAGTGATGCATGGGAATTTATATGCAAACAAAAGTTCAAACAGTTAAGGTAGACTCCCAATACCTTACTTAGTAACTTTTGTTATTGTTTTAGTTTCTGTTAAGGCAAGCAAGGTAAGATGTTCATTTGAAGGGAGGCTTAAACTCTGAAGGTATTCAGATTTACAAATTGATAGTGATGTGATTCTATTTGAGTACAGAATAATTTTAGTTTAGATGGACTTAATTATTAATGCTTTTAAAAAATTTCTACAGTTACTTTTCCATGACTAGGAGACTATTGGATGTTTCTTACTGAAAAGGATATTTTTTATTTGTGTAAGCTGTTGTATATTTTTTAATAATATAGATACAAAGTAGTAGAAACATCTCATTATTGATTTCTGTTACATGACTCCTTCTCCAACTAAGATGAGCAGAATTTTGACCATAAGTATCTATGGTCACATGAAGGATTAATTTGGATGTCTCTGAAAATATAGCTAGTATGTTTCATTGTGGATTTTTAAAAAAAAGTTTACTTTTTTAAAAGTGTTAACCTAAATTAATAACCAATTAAAAACAATAATCAACTCTTCCTTTATTATTGTGTGTCATTGTTTTTTAACTAATATTTGTTTTTCTTTAAGGTATTAACCTGAATTAGATTACTAATTAGAAATAATAATCAGATCTGTCTCTATTCCTGTGATTACACATAAATAAGTTAAATAGTATGGCTCTATTTTGAGTAAACAGGTAGTTTAATTTGCAGTTACTTCAAAGTGTATGAGGTTAATTATGTGTCTAACGTGAAACCTTTCTAAGCCCCACTGCCAAGACTGCTAGTTCCCTTTTTAGAAAGATGTAGCATCCTGTCTGCAATTCTAACCAAGACAGAGAATGAAGAGCAGGGGCTATTCACAAAAGAAACATTAATTCAAGGTTTTAAACTCAAATAAAGACAGGATTTCTAAGAAAACCTTGTGAATTTCTAGGAATAAATCAAGGAATTGTGAAAGCTACATATAAAGTTATTTTTTCTTCGTCATTCAAAGGTCATACAGATTTTAGAAAATTAGAGATGTACGGAGAATAGTAATTAGGTCAGCAGAATATTAAGCAATCAAACATGTCTCAACCATGTTTACCATTTTAAAAAGTAACTTTTGTAGAAATGTTTACCACAGGAATGATTAATTAGCTCTCCATTACTTTAAGAAGAAATCAGAATAATAATTCCTAGAAGGAAAAGAAGGAGAAAGAAAAGGATTATGACAATCAGTACTCAATGAGTGTGCCAGGCACTGTTCTTACTCCTTTACGTCAGTGTACACATTTCTACCTCATACATTTATATGACATAGAAACTCTTGGTATTCCCATTTTATAGATGAGGAAATTGAGGCATACAGAGGTTGTATGACTTATGCAAGATTATAGCTAATAAGAGTAAGAGTGGGATTTGATCCAGTTTTGTTCCACAGTATATTCTCTAAACCACTGTGCTGTATGCTCTATGTAAGAAGATAAAATAAGATAAAATTTATATAATTTAACTTCACTGTCAGCTGTTTTTAATGCTACACTTAAGATTTTTTTTTTTTTAAGTTTTGTTATTACTGATTATTTTTTAGCTGCTTGCTCACCAGACATACCTGGTTGAAACTTCCCATGGATTCAGTTGAAGGAGGTTGATACATTTATAAACCTACAAGAAAAAGAAATTATTAACTGTTACAAGTTTGACTTAATTAACAAAATAAAAATTTCCTTGGTAACAGAGATCACGGTTTTTGCCCATACTGCTGCTATTCCATAGTGGCTACCTCATGATTTATTTAATATTAATGGATATTAAACCATATCGTAACTTTACATAAATAAAATGAGAGGGCAAGATTAGAGAATAAAGAGTCAAAAGTAATGAACAAAGGTTCCAGGAAATATGAGATTATGTGAAAAGACCAAATCTACGTTTGATCGGTGTACCTGAAAGTGATAGGGAGAATGAAACCAAGTTGGAAAACAATCTTCAGGATATTATCTAGAAGAACTTCCCCAACCTAGCAAGGCAGGCCAACATTCAAATTTAGGAAATACAGAGAACACCACAAATATATTCCTTGAGAAGAGCAACCCCAAGGCACATAATAGATTCACCAGGGTTGAAGTGAAGGAAAAAATGCTAAGGGCAGTCAGAGAGAAAGGTTGGGTTACCCACAAAGGGAAGCCCATCAGATTTACAGTGAATCTCTTGGCAGAAAGCTTGCAAGCCAGAAGACAGTGGAGGCAAATATTCATCATCCTTAAAAAAAAGAGTTTTCAACCCAGAATTTCATATCCAGCCAAACTAAGCTTCATAAGAGAAGGAGAAATGAAATTCTTTATAGACAAGCAACTGCTGAGAGATTCCGTCACCACGAGGCCTGCTTTACAAGAGCTCCTGAAGGAAGCACATTAGCTAAATTTTCACTAGAGAAATCTGGCTTTCAAATATGACCTATAAAAGATGCAGTTATGTTAGTAAAATTTGACCTAATTCTGTAGATTATACAATTTAAAATCAAATTGAGATGACAAGTATCCTACTCAAAATAAAGATTGTAGAATTAACTTGTAATTGTCTTATGTCACAGATAGCATTTATCGGTTTGTTACTATAATTGTACATAAACTGCACTATAACATTAATATAAATGTATTATAAATTAAGGAGAGGAACTCGGACCAAGAGCAAGGTGAAACTGTCTCTTTCCAGTTCTCTGACTTTTACCAAATTACTTAACTCTGGTTTTTGTTTCCTCAACTCTAGATTGAATATAATGTTTCTACTCTTAGGATTCTTTAGTGACTGAATGATAGTGATTCAAGTCATTTAATAGTATTTACACATTGGTTAGTTGCTACATTCATTCTCAAAAAGTGGAAGTTTCCTTTATTTCTGCTGCTCCTGTCCCCAAATGAAACTTTTCACGTTTTACTGTCTCTCTTTTCAGTGTTTAGATTTATTAACATATATAACATTTATATAAGACA